GGAGTGGAGGAAAGTATTTCTTTACATAGCTCTCCATAGTCACACACACACAAAAAATTGAACAGAAAGAGGTCCCCTGGTCTATCAAAGGAGGTATATAAAATGTGAACCCCTCCAAATAAATACATAAATAAAACTAAAAATGTTTCAGTGAGAATTTCTTTATGGGTTGTTCATCAATTTTTTAACCTCTTGGTCAGAGGAGGAAACAGTCATTTTAAGTAGAAAAATGGAAATACTAAAGGAAAACTAGTGATGCCTGCTGAATGGACTGTGGCAATAGAATATAAACTCTCTTAAGACAAGATTGTGTCATTTTTTGTCTTTTTATTGGTACCTTAGTACAATACCTTGCATATTAATGACTACTTGGTGAATTGAATTGAATTGAATTTCCTACCACTAATCCTAGACTTATTCTTAGTCCCATCTTATTACCTGAAGTAGAGTCAGGACTAGGAATTTTTGCATCTGAGGTGTTTTTTTTTGTACTGGATTTGTGATTTAATCAGGATAGGGAACCTTTTGAGGAACTCAGTCTACTCAGTGTCTATTTGGCAGCTTATAGCCTTAAAGAATAACCTGGGAACATTGAAAGGTTAATGACTTTCCCAGGGCCATACAGCAAGTGTCAGAAGGTGGACTTAAACCCAAGCTAACATGATTCCAGAGCCTACTCTCTATTCACTATGCCAAACAGCCCCTCTGCACTTTAGGTAAGGTTTGAAATTTGTTTCCCCATGTTTAAAAATTGGGTATTCTGTGTCCACTGGAGTATTTGAACCCTCATAGTAATACATGCAATTTGGCTAATTGTAAAACAAATTCATTTGATTAAAAAAAAAAGCCATGAAGATGGGTGGGGATCTTTATAGCAAGTTTCTCTGATAAACATTTTATTTCCAAGAAATACACAAACCTGATTCAAATTTTTAATAATAAGAGTCATCCTCCAGTTAATAAAGCCCAAAAGCTATCAATAGAAAGTTTTCAAAGAATTAAATCTAAGCTATCAATAGCTACATTAAAATGTTCTAAATCTTTACTAGAAAAATGAAAATGAAAAGAACTGAGGGTCTACTTCCAACTCATCAGGTTGGCAAAAGTGGCAGAAGAGGAAATGACCAGTATTGGAAGGGATGTGGGGAAAACAGGCATATTAATGCACATTTGGTGGAGTTATTAATTGGTTCAGCCATTCTGGAAAGCAATTTGAAACTATTCTCAAAAAATCACTAGACTCTACATACTTTTTCATCTAGTGGTACCATTATACCATCACCAGCCCTATATACCCAAAGAGAACAAAGAAAGAAGAAAAGAATCCATATAAACAAAAATATTTATAGTAACTCTACTAGAAAGTAAAAGTGTGTCCATCATTTTGGAAATAGCTAAATATATATGGTTCATGAATGCAATGAAATGCTATTGTGCTACAAGAAATGATGAAAGGGACAGTTTCAGAAAACCTGGGAAGATTTGCATGAACCATTACACAAGAAAGTAAGTAGAACCAAGAGAACAATTTATAAAGCAACAACATTTTAAACAAAGTTTTGAAAGACTTAAGAATTCAAATCCATGTAATGACTAACCACAATCCCAGAGGGCTGATGGTGAAGCATGCTACCTATCTCCCAACAGAGAAATAATGAACTCAAAATACAGGATGTGACACACATTTATGGGCATGGCTAATGTTTATCACAAGAGTTTTCTTTTTTTTCTCAGTGAGAGCAGGGGGAGGGAAAGAAGAAAATTCTTTTTAATTGAAAAAAATTAAAGAATATATACACTTACAAAAAGCAATGTAAAAAATTGTATTTTGTTGGGCTCCTTGCTTGTTACACTATAGGTAGTTATTTGCCTTCCCACCAGAAAGAGAAACAGAGACAGAGAGAGACAGAGATGGGGGGGTGGAGATTAGAGCCTCATCATTGGGAGGGGGGGAGAAGATACACCAAGTTATTAGAAACGTCAAAAATCTGACTTTTCTAATGACCTTAACATAAGATGCCACACAAAATGTTAGAGGATTCTAAGACATGCATATGGATTATGACTTCTGGCTAAATGCTTATTACAAATAATTCAACAGAACTCTATCTCTTATATGCAGACACTTTGATAAATATAATAATAAAACAACAAAACAACATGTTTTATAGGCAAACACTTGATAAATGTTTGTTGCATTGAATTCCTATAAATCATCTCACTTCACAGCATAGTGAATAGATTCCTGGACTTGAAATCAGGAAACTTCGGTTCAAATCTGACCTCAGTTATTTACTAATTATATGACCCTGAAGAAATCACTTAGTCTGGGACTCAATTTCTTGACATATAAAATTAGAGAATTGGACTAGATGGCCTCTAAAACCCCTTACAGCTCTAAATTATAATTCTATGATATTCAATAGATGTATTTATACTTCAGCTTCCTTCCAGGCATATAGTGGCATAATTTGGAAAGCCTTAAACAAGTGTGAAGTGAACATTCATGTATTAAGCACCCACTACATTCCAGGCACTGTGCTAACCACTGGAGATACAAAGAAAGAGAAAAAAAAATACCTGCTCTTAAGGAGTGCACAATCTAATGGGAGAGACAGTAGGCCAGCAACTATGTATAAACAATATACAGGTAAGATAAGTCGGAGATAATCTTACAGGAAAGATACTAGCATTAACAGGGTTCAAGAAAGGCTTCTTTCAGAAGGTGAATTTTATTTGGAACCTGAAAGCCTACTTTCTACCACCTGGTGCATATTTTGCATGTCCTCTAGCACCAGTTTTACTGTACACTATTTTCCAAACTCCTTCATGTACGTAATACTGCATTAAGTTCAATTTTATATGCATCAGTTCATCCAAGGCCAGAGGCCATATAGAAGAAAAGAAATAAAGATTTTGCCCTGACAGAGCTCACAGAATAATTTATATGGATTATTAAATAAAGCATTTGTTTTCTTTTGAACACATGGAGAAGCTATTATGCCCCGTCCACTCTACCTTATCCAAATCATACCAATCTTTCAAGGTCTAACTGAAGTCTAATTTCTTTCTTGATGGATTCCTCCCTACTTAGAGCCTCAACTAATATTTCCCTCCTCTGAATGCTTTTAGAACACATAGTCTGTACCATGCAATTTGGCACACTATTCTACACTGTCTTCTGTAACTGCATTTCCTGTAATGTCATTTATGCTACTTTCATCTCTTCTAGTTTCTGAGTTCGAGGGACAATAACCAATGCTTCTCTTGTATTCCCCACAATGAGGTACTCACAAATTCTCATTGATAGGTCCAACTTTTTGGTGAAGGGGTTTTAGAGAAGACATTTCCAAGGTGTCACCCAAGTAAAGGATTTGGATTTGAGTAACATATAGGCTAGGGATTCAACCTATATGCCTGTATCCTCTAAAAATATCATCACAGAAGATGCAGTCATATCAATTTGGAAACACCTGCCTTTCAGTAAAATTGTTTCCAATTGGTACCTCCAGGTCCTTTTCTCTCACTCTGTTATTAACCTGCTGTCTGACTTTATACTTCATCATTCAACTGAAAATGCTCTCTCCAAAGTCACCATTTTTCTTTAAAATAAAAATTATTCATTATTTACTCATTTTTTGAGTTCCAAATTCTCTCCCTCCCTTCTGCTCTCCCCCCCAGTAAGAAGACAAGCAATATGATATCAATTATACATGTGAAATCACTCAAAACGTAGTTCCATATTAGTAATGTTGCAAAAAAAGCAAGAGAAATAAAGAAAGTGGAAAAAAAATTATGCTTCAATCTGCACTCTGATTTCATTAGTTCTCTCTCTGGAGGTTGATGGCATTTTTCATCATAAATCTTTCAGAATTGCCTTGAATCATTTTCTTGATCAGAGTAGCTAAACCCTTCATGTTAATAATCATTACATTACTATGTACAATGTTCTCCTGGTTCTGCTCACTTAGCTTTACATCAGTTCAAATAAATCTTTCCAGATTTTTCTGAAACCACCCTGCTCATCATTTCTTTATGGAACAATAGTATTCCATCACAATTATACACAACAATTTGTTCAGGGTCATTATAGCATCCCTTCAATTTCCCAATGGCCTCTTAATCACCAACTCGGAGATACATACAAATATATTTTCTTTATACACAGTAGTTTTCATGTGTCTCCCCAACTAGAGTGTGAGCTCCTTGAAAGCAGGGACTGTGTGTTGACTTTCTTTGTATCCTCAGTATCAGAGGCTGCAACATAGTAGGCTATTAATAAATGCTAGGGTAGTCGTAGGCTAGTTAATTACTCTGCCCCACCCCAGCAAAGTAAAGTAATTCCTCATCTTCCTAATAACAAACAACCACAACAACAAAACTGAACAACCCTTTAACACTATCTGGACTTCCTCCTATACTAAAATGCAAACCCGGGTTTTCTTTTCTTAAGGACCTCCGCTTCATCCCTACTCAATTAAAAAAATTTTCTGGTACCTGGAGAAGTTGAGCTGGGTGAGAAGGAAGCATAGATCAGGGAGATCTCTGTAGAAATAGGGACCATCTGGCACCTGCATTATATTTCCACCTTTATTCCTCACAAGGGGTTAGAGGGGCGGAGAAACAAAGGACACAAAGAGTGAGTATGACCCAGTTCCTCTGGAAGTTTTAGCTGGTTGTAGCTCTCACCAAAAAAAAGGAAAAAAAAAAACCTCAACTCATCCATCAAACAAAAAGTGTGCGGTGACCCCCGCCCTGGCCTACAGAGTTGGAAAGTGGGGACAGTGAAAGAGAGACAAACCGCTTTACCTTAGTGCTTCCCTAAGAATTCAATTCAAACTGGTGCAGAGACCAGCCTGGACCAGGGGGGGTCGCTCTTCCCCCGGAGCAGCCACCTCTTTAGCTGCCAACACCTCCCACGGTCAGTGCTTTCCCAACCCAGTCAACTTATAACAACCCCAGGCGAGCAGGAGGGGATAGAGCAGAGCCTTGGCAGAAGCTGTTGGCGAAGGAAGCTGCCGCTGTTGGTAGTACCACAAAGGATCCTGGAAACTCCCAGAACCCGGGGACCGTCGTGGTTTGCAAAAGGGAAGAAGAAAGGAGAGTTGGACGCACCGAAGTGTCCAAGTCGGAGCACCACCCCCGGGGACACCTGTTCCTCTCCCTCCACCCCACTCTCCACCCCCTCCGACCCTGCGCCACTCGGCGCGCCCGGGCGCGCAATGAATCCCGTGCTGGGCAACCAGACGGAAGCGGCTGGGCTCTTCTTGGCCAACAGCAGTGACTCGCTGGAGCGGGTCCTGCGCTGCTGTACACAGGCGTCCGTGGTGACAGACGATGGCTTTGGGGAAAGCGGGCAGGACGAACGGAGTCTGTACATTATGCGAGTGGTACAGATAGCAGTTATGTGCGTCCTGTCGCTCACCGTTGTCTTTGGCATCTTCTTCCTCGGCTGCAACCTGCTCATCAAGTCGGAGGGTATGATCAACTTCCTGGTGAAGGATAGGCGACCATCCAAGGAAGTGGAGGCGGTGGTTGTGGGACCTTACTGACCTTCCTCTTCCTTCGCCACAGCTTGTTCTCCCCCTCCCCCCAGGCCTACCCACCTTGCCAAACCCAACCGCGCCTCTCAACCATCTGAGATCTGGCGAAAGAAACTTACCGGAGTGATAGCCTCCCAATGATTCTTTGGCTGCTGCTTCGGTCACCAACTCTTCTATCTAAGGGATGAAGCGACCTCTTAGTCTCGCTCCGTTCTTTGAAAGCCTCCCACCCTAAGAAGAGACCTCACCAGCCTCTGTGCACTTCTGGGACAGTCCAGCCAAAAAGTAATGAAAGAAAGGGATGGGGTGGATGGTGGAGAGCAATGGGCAATAACTTTCTAGTTGCTGGGAGACGTCCCGTCGCCTGAGATCCGGGGAGATCACGGCGAAGGGAGAGATACGCATCTCGGCTTGCATGTGGGGACGGGCTCTTGGGGAAAGTGGAGAAGGGGGAGGGATGGCCGAATTCCCCCGGTAACGATCCGACTGGTCGCTTGGCCTGGAGCCACGCTTCCGAAAATGTGACCTGTGTATATACAACGCGACAGACTTCACAACAATGACATGTAAACTAAGCAAAACAAACATTCCCAGACTCAGTCCCCTCTCCATTGGAGGGGACAATCGGTAACTACGTTTTGATTGCAGCTCACTGTTTTAAGGGATATTTTGCTTAAGAAATAATTATTATAAAAATTTATAAGTGTTTTCCAACCCTTTTTGTTTGGCTGTGGGTCTGGTGTTTTGTCGTCTTGAGGGAAAAGGGATTAATGGGGGAATGGGGCTCACGAGGGAGTAGAGGGGAGAAGACAGGAGTAAAAATGTGAATGTTGTGAATTGTCTTCTACTGCCGCTTTTCCTATGCCTGTTGTAGTGTGCAGGGCTGGCCTGGAGCTGGCCCACGGGGTCGGGGGAGCAGAAGGGGTAGCATGTGAGAGTACTGCACGAGTTCACTCAGCAAAAGTGCTTTAAATCTGTGGCACAATTTTTATTTTTTTTTCCTTTTTATTTAAATTTTCTGTAATAAATGCATATTCACAAAATGTTCCCTCTGCTGACCTCCTGGTGCTCTTTCTGCGATTAAGGAAAAGGAGGGTGAGGGAGAGGGGTGCGCTGGTGAGAGGGAGTAGGGGACAGTAGAGTGGGCTTGGAGAACTCAGGTTAAGGACACAGGTCAGAGGGACTGGGCAGGTGGATGAGGGAAAGGACAGAACAGTGAAGCAATCTGACATTTTTAAGAATGCCAAGAATCCTTAAATACCCTATTGAAGCCATCTGAAGGCAGCATGCTTTGGTTTTCGATTAAATCATCATCGTTTTTGTTGTTATTTAATATTTCATTTAGGCTCTGTGGGCTGAATCAGACAGGACTTCAAGAAACCTACCTTGGGAGGGTCAGACTTCCTTTCCTTGCTCCAGTGGGAAAACAGGGCTAAGAAGCTAATGAAAGGAAGAGAGGTCTTAACTTGTCTTCTGGGAAGGTGACTTTACCCTAACTAACGTTACTAAAAGTATTCTGTAGTAGTTGATGGGATTTTTTTTGTTTGTTTGTTTGCTGGTTGGTTTATAAAAAGGAAAAAATAACTAGACTATAATATTTTTCCTCTGTGGTAAACTATTGAAACCAATTCTTATTATGATGCCTCTTGGCCTAATATTCACTGTTTTTCTTTTTCCTTATAAAAAGGATCAATGTGAGTTTTGGAAAAGGAGGAGGAGAGAGACAGAGAAGGAGGGAAGTGAGAGAGAGAGAGAGAGAAAGAGACAGACACACAAAGACAAACACACCAAATACACACACAGACATACAGACATACACAGATACACAAACACACAGTCACACAGAGAGATACACTCACCCAGATGGATTTAAACTATGTACATATAACTTGATAAAACGGCATGCTCCTTCCCAGCAAATAGAAGTTAAAGGAGTTAGCCAAGGTCCTGAATACCTGGGTTGACATGGAATTTATACTTCAAAAGTTAGGAAGAGAAAACAGAAAAAGGGATGGAGCTACAGGTGGTCAGTCCCATAGACAGGCCATACTTGGGTCTGGGCATTTGGCCCAGTTTTGATGACTAGCAGCAGGAATCAGCGACTTTTGAAAGCACGATGCAAACAGGAACCATTTACTGAAGCTTAAGCTTTACAATTTGTGCTGTTAATCCTTAAAAATAGGGCAGGGTCCTGGAATACTACAAGAAGCTAAAGGATCTATTATTAATTCCATAGGATTAAGGAACAGTATAAATTATTTCACTGAAGAGATTTTAGGAGTGACACTGATTTCTGGAAATGCTTTTCATTTATTCTAGAATAACAACTGGTATAAACAATGTCATTGACCCAATGACACTGGCTATCAAGTGCTAGTCAGTGATCTGCCTGGCTGCCAAATGTCCCTGTTACCCCTCTAGCAAATCTTGCCATTAAGCCCGAGGTGGTTACTTGTAATGCTAATGGAAAATCTGGCTATAAAAAAAAATAAGATTTTATTGGCCTCCCTGGGGTTCTAGATATTCAAATGCAAAGGGCACATTTTTAAATCTATTTTTCACTACATTTTACCAATGGCAGGGCAGGGAAAAGTATGGCACTCTTGGTAGGAAAATAGCATACAATTTAATTAACAGAGGGAACTTGCCATAGTATGGTATAGTGGCAAGAGCATTGGACTTGCAATCAGGAGATCTTGGTTCTAATTTTGGCTCTGTTACCTTGAGCAAATCATTCTGCTTCTCTGGCCTCAAGTTTCTCATCTTTAAAATGAGATGATTGGACTAGATGACCTCTGAATTTTCTTCTGGCCCTAGTATTCAAGGACTAAAGATTTATCTGCTCAGCATCTTACTGAGGAAGACTTAAGTCTATTGCTCCATTGGTTCCAAGGGAAAAAAGACATACATTTACCCAGTCCTTTGAGATTAAAGATATGATCATAGTTTGAAAGATGGAAGGGATCACTAGGCCCAGTGCAACCCCCTAATTTACAGTTAAGAAAATGAAAGCTCAGAAAGATTAAGTGATTTCTCCAGGATGACAAAACTACTAAGTTTCTCAGGAAGGATTTGAACCCAGGCCTTCATGATTCCAAGTCCAGGGCCGATTCATTATGTCATGCAGTTTGTGCTCCTCTATCACCTTCACAAGATGTGTCTCTATGTATCACTGTTTTCACTGATCCAGCCAAACACTAGTCATTTAGAAATAAGCAGGGTATGACTGGTTGAACTCCTTTGTGTCCTGCTGACACAGTTCAGGCCACCTTGGGAATTCCAGCCTGCCTAGGAATTTGAAACTCATTTATTTGCATATGACATATATCTCCTTTAAAACACAGGACCAGGTCTAGATTTGGGAGGTGATGGAGTGACAAAAACTTGGGTTCTGCTCCAGACAAGAGACCTTTTTCTTTTCCTTTTTTGCTTCCCTCATTTTTGTCCTTGTCTATTACATCCTCTGTTTCCTCTAGATCATTTGTAGGTTCCCTACATTTAATATTCACTCTAAATTTTCTCCCCAGTCATTTGAGATCCTGATACCAATCAGACCTGTGAAACTTACACTTTACATAGGTAGATCTATATGTGAATGTGGAGATGTGTGAATGTTTGAGGTCTAGGATGTATGCTTCATAACAAAATTCAGAGGTTACAAAAAATTCACAGCCTTGGGGATTACTTGCCTCTAGCAATAAGTTTCTATCTTATCTGTGGTGGGAAAAAATGGCCCCTATATCCATTTGTTACTTAGAGAGATGCCAAGTGGTTCTGTTTTTTATAGATTCACTGATGGGAGCAAGAAGCTTTTTACACCCATTATGTCCTGATGGCCACACAGCAGTGGTTTCTCCAGGCTCCCAACCTTCCTCATGCCTGTCTGCCTTTGCCACTATTTTCCTTCATCCAATTCTAACAGCTGTATGAAAATGGCATTTTATCAATCCCTGAGCCTAGGGGATGATAATCCTTCCCACTGACACACTACAAGGTACAGGAGGATTATTCTACAGTGCAAGTGATGCTCTTCCTAATTCCTCTAAGCAAAGCTAGTCCCCAGAGACTGGGAAACATGATAGACAGATGGAAGAAGCCACATGATTTTGCCTACCTGCTCTTATTGCCAGAACCCTAGGCAATAGGTAAGAGACCAAAGGAGATACATTTCTCCAGATGCTTGGTTAGTCTGATGTGAGTCCTAGGGAAAGAGCTCCTAGGGAAACAGCATGTCTAAGAGGAGCAACTTGTAAATCCACACTGTCATACCCCTACACAATGAGTGACCCACCTTCCTTCCTGGTAGTTTTACTGAAATTATCTGCTGCTCCAGTAACTTTATCCTATTATTCACGTATTATTTTTATATTAGATACAGAGCTATTGCTTTTCAGAGCAAATGTACGAATGAATCAATGAAAAAATTGGAAAATATTTAATTAATGCTTACCATGTGCCAAGCATTTTAAATGCTAATGAGAAATAGAAAATTGAAGTTAGTACCTGCCCTCAGGATGCTTACATTCTAGTAGGGAGGGAACACCTACAAAGAAAGAAGCAAGCAAGGGTGGGGTACTGTGGTTTGAAAAGGTACATAGGGGAGTAAATTGACACATCTTTTCTGGCAGTAAAAACAATATTGATGTGGTTATGGTACCAGAAGTGGAATAGCGGAGGATGGCAGGGTGGTTTCTGCATAAATGGCCTGGGAATAAGAGTCATGTTTGGCATTAGCGTGGCCTGATATAGTGGACTACATGAAACACTTACCAGTCAGGAGGGTGTGGGGGCGTAGGCCCAGTGGAAGTTCTGGAGGTAAAGGGGTTAAATCTTCCAGAGCATGCCTGGAGAGAAAAGAAAAAAAAAAAAAACTGGAATGCACTCTCTTTGTGGTAGTCTAAGGAAAAGAAAAGCAATCACTTCTCCTGCCAAGCCAAAGGTCAGTTCTGCTCCCAGGGGAGCCTCCTGGTGACTGATCTACTCATGCCTCAGAGTCCTCTGTTCTCTCTAACCCCAGCCCTGTGGA